GCGCAGCTCGTATGGGGTACATGTGGTGTGATATAATGGTTTAATTGGGTTTGCCAGCACGGGGCTGGCTGAGCGCAGAAAGAACACCTTTGGGAGAATGAGAGAGAGAGAGAGAGAAAAATGAGTGGAAAAAAACCTCACAAGCATGGAAATGTAATGAGTCTGGGCTGTCTAGACCGTGTGCTTGGCTGTGTGGAGCTGTACGGCGAGTTTTTCAACATATGCGAATGTTTATCTCTCTGAAATGGAGCATGTGGACCCAAGGTCCATTTGGAGCCAAAAGGGAGGACTTTCGGAGCAAAGCCCGCCCTAGTCAAGCAAGTCGACATGCAGAGAAACTCACAACGCAATGCTTCATACGTTTACAAGAGCATACACACAACTATTAAATAAAACTTAAACACACACATTTTCTTATCGCTCATATCTACTCTTTCTTACCTACCTCTTACCTCTTTACCTGCTTTGATCTTTTGCTCACATTTAAGCTTGCTAATTGCTATAATTTGCATCTCATTCTTTAAACATACTATTTGAAGGAAACCAAAAAAATAACACATAGTTAGAGTATCCTGAATGAAAGGTTAGCTGGCAGAAGTACACAGCAGTGCTTATGCAGACAGGACTCCTCAGTCGTGAGTTGCTATGACAGCTGTGAAGTGTACTGTCCAAGTGTGATGTCCACTACTACACTGACACTACTCTCACTTTCTCTATGTCTAGCTATGTTTACATGTAGAATAATAATCTTTTTATAATCAAAATGATAGCTCAAATACAATGAAAAGTACTAAAATGAAAACACAGTTGAGTAAACTGATCTCTATCTGAAATTAAACATTTTAATGTAATGCACTGGAAGATGCATATTTGGAAGGTGCATATTTTAAACTATTTGTTAAGCTGTAGAATAATTTGCATGTAAACCTTCAAGTTAAACTGTTTTCACCTGGTGTACATACATAGTGCAGTGTTTTTATAAATTTCAAAATTCAATTTATATATTTATATAAAGCAACACATATTATTGCATTTTCTGCAGGGGCCGCGTTTTCTTTAATAAAGTCACATACCACAAAAAAAAGGAAGTCCATTTTATCCTATATTTCTCAAACTGTCAATTAAAGCAGGACATCTCTCTCCCACCAATCTTTGCTACATATGCTTTTCCATGTCTAGTTTTTGGAGGGAAAGAGAATTTTGAGACTTCACACTCTTCAAAGGTTATTCTTGTTTTTCTTGTGACTAACTTTTTAGTCAGCTCCATCATAAACGCTGCACTTCGCATGCACAGAAATTGTTTTAGGAATACATGTGATGCACATCTGTACATATAAACAGTATGTTTGCAATTTGCAATCAGATTTGATTTATTCACAAAATGTCCGCATGTAAACAATCACTGTCTGGTAAACATTAAGCTCATATTTGGAATGTAATACCAGCATACTGTAAACTCTTACTATAATCTAATGAATAAAATTGAATGATTATTAAAAAAAATGGAAAATGGAAATGAAAGAGTGCATTGTGCGATACAGTGTTTTATGCAGTGGGATCTATGTGCATACTGCATATTTTGGCAACTGTAGTGTTCTGTGCACATTTGCAGAGTCTAAATGCTGCATACTGCTTGACATGAAGTATTTGACCCCTGACTTTGATGGTCTGCATTGCTTTTGCATGTGTGAAAGTGTGTACATATGTTGTCTATAAGCCTAATCTCAGCCGTGTGCTGTCCATCCTAAGCACCTCCTGCCCGTCTCTGATGCACAGCAGTGTGTTATATAAACAGTGGAAAGCAGACACCTTATTGTGTAAGAGGACCATGTGTGAAAATATGGAGCACACATTCAAAGAGGGTTTCAAAAAACCATCAGGGCAGAGTGTTAAAGATGTGTTTTGGCAAAGATTGCATGGAAGGTTTCATTTTGGAAAGGCCTGGTGTGACACTCTTTTTCCTTTCCTCTCATAATCTGTAGTTTTGCCCTTAAATTTTATTACTTCAGACTTTCTCGTTGTAAAATGGGATGTGCATATCAATACAGCTTTGAGTTTTATGGGCCTGTCTACATCAACAGTGAGATCTTTGTCTCATGAAATGTCAAGGGGAAAAAACACTCCACAAGTCCACAAGTTAACAAAAGGGGTTTGTATTGAACATTGGGGTGGCTCAGATAACAAAAACCGTCTCCAGGTTACGCATGTAACCATGGTTCCCCGAAGGGAACGAGACGCTGCGTCGAAACGCTACGGGAACACCTCCAGCGTGACCACGCTCTGAATCACATGTGTAATCAGTCCAATGAATGGGCGAGACGTCACGGGTGGGGTGACGTAGCGACCAAGAAGCATAAAAGCATGTGCGGTGAAACCGGCGTCAGCTTCTAGGAATGAAGCAAGCGCTGGCAGGGATGCCGGAAGTATGGCCCTGAGACGCAGCGTCTCGTTTCCTTCGGGGAACCATTGTTACATGCGTAACCTGGAGACGTTCCCCTTCAGGAACTCGAGCTGCGTCGAAACGCTACGGGAACGAGAATGCCCACGCCGCCAGACTTGCAAAGTCTGGTGTGCAAGAGCACAACTAAGGTGAGAGAAAAGGGAGCCAGGAATGGCTAAAGTAGGCAGGCCCGCCGTCCCGAAGGCCAACTTCTGGAGGAGTGAGCCTTGACCTCCGAAGGAGAGGGGAGATCAGAGGGCTCAAGGCTATGGAATAGCATCCTGATCCACCACTTAGCATAAGCTTCTCTGGCCGGAGGCCTCGGCCTCAGCGCACCGTGGAGGAAACGTGTAATAAGAGGGTGTCTTCCCACTGAATGGCCACCGAGAGGGGCGTGGTAGGCCGCAATGGCTGCCACGAAGACCTCTAGGGTGAAGTGGGTCAACCCTGCGGATAAACAGGCCTGCAGGAACTCCAGAACTGTACCAAA